AGCCATTAGCCATTATAAAGCAATGTGAATGAAGTTATTAGCAGAAGAATGTATCAAGGAAAATATTCTAGGTTGAATGAAGTAAAGTAGTAAACAATAATATAAACGCATTTATGGATGTCAATCAAGATTCAATTAATTCTGTTCAAAATTTTGATGAGGACCCATTTGATTACTTCGTCACTTAGATTGAACAACTTCAATCTTTTCTAATCTCCTTCGGGTGAGGCAAATCTTGGATTCCTTTCCTTATTAAAACTCCCCCACTCCCACCTTCTTTCTTGGACCCAAAGAATGACAAACAAGACAAAACAAAAGCAAAGAGATAAAACATGTTCAATACTTCATTGAGATTACACTCATCTGTGGGCTAGCTCCCTTTTCTTACAATCTAGTTAGAATTTTCAACAGCCTTACTGAAACTTTTATATTGGCATTAATCATTGAATCACCTTTTGACACGAATCCAACCATCAAATGGTGAACTCAATCAATGAAGGGGAGCTGGATACTGGAGACTCTCCCATGAACCATGCCTAAAATAGAAAGGAACTGCTAGAATATAACAAACCCACAAGAACAAAGTTGATCATCAAGGTGTTGTGGGCGTTAGATTATGATCTATCAAGATATGTGCATCAGAAAAAAAGCTAAAAGTTGTAGAGAAAAAAGAAAAGGAAAAGGTGAAACGACTCATCACAGGACAAAAAGACCATGTGACATCACTTCTCCTTTTTGTGATGCTTCATTCAGTTTTTTTGACCCGATCTAGTAGCTACATCAAACATACCTATAGATAACAGTTCCTCCTTGTTTATCATGCTTCCCCTCGTACTAAGTAATGGAGTAATCAGTAATACAAACATAAGATATTATGTTGAGTAAAGAAGATAAAAGAATCAAAACAAAACTAGAATTCTAAAACAACTATTATCACTTGGGATGATGGTATAGACCATGGCTTCGTACCCCTTTTTCAGATAAAAAGAATTTGATAACAGTTACTAAATATGCTAACAACAAAGAAATCAAATGATATTCAATAGGAACATTCTTAAGTTTTTCTGGTTCTTTTCTCAAATTACATGGATTAAGAGGACCAGTCTCTACCTCGAAAATAACTTATTAGGGAAAATCAGTACTCAATATTGGAAAATTTGAAAGATATATACTTATTTTTCTACTTATATTTTGATGCTTCTGTACCTTACCACCCTCGTCAAAAAAAAAAAAAAAGAAAAAGAAAAAAATATTCATTTTTGTTCATCTTACATGCAACCAAATTGACCCCTAATATATAGGGGTTAACACAACTCTGACAGTAGTCAGTTTGTGATTTCTATCAGTCTTCAAAACAAGGAATATCTTGGCCCAACTTCTCGAAACACGTTTTTCATTTTTTTCTGTTCTCAATTTTCTTTTCCGGCATAAAAGTATGATCGATCGTATCAGTTTTTTATTTTTTTTTTCTTTGGAAAGGATTAATGAAGATTGGTGGTGATCTGGGGACATCTTATTTTGTTCATATGTTTTGATAAGCGGGTATAATCTTCTGTTAATAGATAAAAGTAACATTCTTTTATTTTTCTTTTTTTGTTGTTATCTTCCTAAAGATGACCTCTTAAGTTCTGGGAGCATGCGAAAATTATCAAAAATACGTTGTGCTCAAATCAAAACTCGGAATAATATATAGACCCATAAGGCTTCCCTATGTTGGAGTTGATTGTTTCCTTCCTTTCTTTAATTATACATCAATTTTAGTTTATTTTGTTCTGTTTGGATTTGTTGAGCTGAGCTACGCCTATTTTATTGATATGCATCGTTCTGGAATGGCCACCTTCACTAAGGTCCTAAAAACATCTATGATGTTTTCCACATGGTTTGTATCAGCCTAACTGTGGCCCTTGAGTCCATTTATCATAAACAATTGCCCCTAAAATAATTGTCCTTCACCCTATAATAATAGGCCCATTTATCATAAATTCCTTTGGCATGTTTGGTGATAGAAGCAAAAGTAAAAGTATTAACGCATTTCCTAATATGGAAAATCAAATATTAAACAAAAAAATCGATCTAAATGGTATAAGCCATCAACTATTAGAATGGAATACCCATATCACCAATGGCCAGAATGAATTAGCCTGAATTTCCTAATATCAGGGTTTATACTTCACAGCAGTGGTTTCAAAACCAGACCGGACCATACAGTCGGACCAGAAAAATCGGGAATCAGTACAATTTCATCTCAAAATTGCTTCGTGGCAAAAAAACCGTTGATTTGGTTAACAAATCGTTAACCTAGGTGGTCGAACCATTGATCCGGACAATAATTTTTGACCTTTTTTATTTTTTTGTCAAAACGGGCCGTCCATTCAGATCAAATGATCGGAGACCTAGAAATCGAATCCAAAACGATTCCCTGTTCGATCCGGTTTTAAAAACCTCTTGCTTATTTGAGCTTGGGGTTTTCTATACACAACTTCCTTTTGTTATTAATCAGCAGGCTAGGAGGATTTTAGGGTTGTTGATTATGCGTCCCTGAAAGTCGCTTTCACTAGCTACTCTCTATATTATGTAATGTTGAGCTTTTGGGCTGTATCCAAGTTAGCATGGAGGGTTGAATCAGGTTGAAATATAATTCGGTGTTTAAAATTCTTGAAAGTGACAACATCGATGCATTCATGCACCAAGTTGCAATTAAAAATGGTACAAGAAAGTAATGTCGTTCACTAGAGAAAGTTCACTAGTGGTTAAACTTAAGCTGCACAAAGCTCTTGTCCTAATTCATTCAAACCTTAAGTTGGGTCCTAATGCAAGTCAAGGTTGAGACTGTATCTTAGGAGTTTCCTGGTGCATAGGCTTAGCTTTCATAGCCTCAGTAGAGGTGGACATGAATTGGATCCATCAAATTCTGTCAGATTTATATAGGTAGTGTTGAAGTCAAGCCTAACCCAGATTTTGAAATTAACAACTTTGGCTGTTAACCTCAAAGCTATCTCTATCACTTTCTAGATCTTCAATAAAGAAATTATAAAGGAAGATAGATTGAAGAAGAATACATATTCAATTAATAATGAACAAATGAGAACTTAATATCAAAGCAGAGCTCATCATACCTTGCTGCTATGCATTAAGTAAAACGAAACTAAATCCTTGTAATAAATACACAGATTTTGGTAGTCCAAAACCCATTTTTCTTTTGCTTTCCTTCGACTATGAATGATGATCTTGTTATATTGTTGTAGGGATCGATTCTTCTAACTAGATATCATTCAATCAAGAGTCTTCAGTCTTCACCTTCTTAATATTTAAACATTTAAGCAAGTTCTGGGATCCCAAACCGCAACTACCAGGACTGTACCCAGGAAGCTTTTTTAAAATTGAACTTCTGAGTTCTGGCCTAGTAAATAAACAAATAAATAAAACTTCCTAGATGTTGTTGGGGCGTAGAATATTCTTTAAATCTATCAAATTTTATTAAAAATTAAATTTAAAAGCTCCAACTAACTTTTAACCCTTTTTTTAATTAAACTGACTAACGTACCACCCCCATCAGCTCACCTCACCTCACCGCAGCGTTCTCTGTCCGTCTAGTTAGTTGTTGCCGTGTGGACTGAATAATTTGGAGATAAAACAAAGTGGCGTATAACATTAGTAAATGCAGTACGTAGCGAGAGAGAGAGAGAGAGAGAGAGAGAGGAGTGAAGGAGGGAGAGAGAAACAAGAGGAAAAGATGAGATGAGAGGGTGGGATGGCGGAATGAGTAGTCAAACGTCAAATCGGAGGTCTTCAAATCATAAGACAGTCAGTGATGCGTCAATCGATGGGATTTGTTATATGTGGGGCAAAACAATAGCTTTCTTTCACTGCTAGACGCATAACCAGTCTCCTCCACACGTGCTACTCATCTCACGTGCGGTGCAGCCACTCCAGACCACCCCTCAAATCGAGGCACGAGTCCCCATACCACCTCAGGCACAACCCACACGCTCCCCAAAGCTCTAATCCTCCATTCTCTCTCTCTCTCGAATATTTTAGTCTCCACACATCCAATTTCTTTTGCCATGCTGTATCTCTCTTGGATTAATTCAGAAGCTTGAGAATGACTTTTGTCTGCCATGGAATTACCATAATGCCACAACCCTCTTCGTAATATTTCTCTTTTATTTATTTTCCAATATTTAATACTCTTCCAGCAAGCTCCAACTTAAATTGAGATCCTGTTCTTCGATGTTACTGAGCTTTTTCTTTTATAAATGTTTGGGATGAAAATGAAACTTAAAAGTTTGAAAACCAGAAAATGTATTTAGATAAAATGAAGAAAAAAAACAAAGAATTAAAAGATACAAAAAAAAAAAAAAAATTGTCTAACCAGGATGTTATTGACCCAGTTATCCCGGAGCCGGCTACTACTTAATCAGGATAGCATAGTTGGTGTCTTGGTGATTAACCCATTTGATCTTATCCAAAAGGTGATTAATTAACCCATTTTATTTTATTTTATTTTTGTGGTTACCCATTCTTGTTAGAGCCTCCAACAATATAATTTATTCAATATTAGATGAACATAATTTGGAAAATTTAGAGTGGAGGGATTAATGGAAAGCTAATTTCTACTTTATGTGCACTAAAAAAGATTTCCTAATCAGCTCAAAAAAAATTTTGAATATTGTAGAAAAATCCTGCAACCCACGTTAGGTTACCCTTACTTGAATTGGAGTTTTTTCTTTCAGTTAATAAGCCAATAAAGTTCTAAACTTTTAATGTAAAAGTTGTCCATATATATGTGCTATATATGTATGGATGGATGCATGCATTTATGCATGTATAAGACATGACATTTTGCTATTGGTATCAAACAGATTAACATTTTGTAACTGCTAACATCTCATGTTAAAAATTTGTAGAAGAGATAAGGGCAGGTTATATAAATAGGCACCAAAAGTAGGGCAAATGCAAGGAAATCCTTTAATTTTCTTCTATATTTTTTCCTCTATCTGATTATTTCTTTTCCTGCCCATTATTTAAATAGCAGAGCCGCCCATCATAACCACCCAAATTGCTCTCTCTCTCTCTCAAAATATCTCAGACACCACAACACACAATCGAGAGATTCTGAGAAGAACAACGGTTCATGAGAGAAGAAAGAAGAAAGATGAAGCGAAGCCTTGCTCTCTCCTCCCACTGGGTCTCTATATTTTCCTGGTCAGCTTCTTCCTAAACTCCACCCAGTAACCAGCCAAGCCAATATATCCCGACCTATCTCCCTATTGAGCCAGTCATCTACCCCAACCATGAACCTAGAGGATTCCTTCAAGTCGCTCTCGCTTGACTACCTGAACCTTCTCATCAACGGCCAAGCCTTTAGTGATGTAACCTTCAGCGTTGAGGGCCGTCTTGTCCATGCACACCGGTGCATCCTGGCAGCCAGGAGCCTCTTCTTTAGGAAATTCTTCTGTGGTCCTGAACCTCCGGCAGGGATCGACCCCGTAGGAACACGAATGAACTCCGCATCCTTGTGTTCGTCGCCGAGAGGGGGCAATTCTCAGGTCATCCCTGTGAACTCCGTCGGTTATGAGGTGTTCTTGCTGCTGTTGCAGTTCTTGTACAGTGGACAGGTCTCCGTCGTGCCTCAGAAGCATGAACCAAGGCCTAATTGTGGGGAGAGGGGTTGCTGGCACACCCATTGCACCTCAGCCGTTGATCTCGCGCTCGAGACGCTCGCTGCTTCTCGATCTTTCGGAGTCGAGCAGCTCGCATTGCTCACTCAGGTCAATTCTTAATTTCTTATGTTCATTAGTCTGCTCTCTCTCTCTCTCCAAATCCGGATTATAGGAAAATTCTTGGGATTGATTTTTGGCTCGGGACTAAAATTTTTCAAGTGGGATTTTTTTTTTCTTTTATTTTGCTGATCTGTTGTCGTTTAAATTTTATTTTTGATAAAGTGAGTGGGTTGGATTTTGGTCAGCAATCCAAGATTTTGTGTGTTTCTAGCCATTTTTTCTTCCATTTACAGCAGTTAGATTTGATCTCACAGATATTTGGAACTTTTCCCAAACTGGGTTTTCTCAGTTTCGCTAGAAAGAGATCCAGGTTAATTTTGAATTCATGTTTCCAGTCGTTCAGTCATGGATGTGTCTCTTCGTATATATAAATCTGTAAAAGTCTAGATTTGGCATTTTGGTTTTGTTTCATATCACATGTGTAACTGATCTTGATTTCATGAAGCTTTCTCCTTTTCTGTAAGATTTCCTCGAATTGGGTTCCTCCTATTTTCTACTGAACAGACATGACCTTCTAAATTTAGATCTTGATCTCATCTAGTCCTCCACGCGAACGAGTAATCACACCAACTCTCCCTCTCTCTCTCTCTCTCTCTCTCTCTGCCCCCAGCCGGGGTAGAGCACACGAAATCTTCCTGAATTCAACTTTCCTCATTTAGATGAACAGCAAGAGTGTTATAAATATGGGCCATAACTTTTTTTTTTTTTTTTTTTTCATGTTCTTTTCTGTAGAATAACTTGTATCTTACCTCAACAACACATTATTTATGAATTAAGACGAGTGTTCTGAAGCAGCTTCCCCTTAAATATGGTTTCATATTTTATGTCACTGAAGATATATAAAATTTTTCTACCATCTTACATTGCTTACTGGTTGCAGAAGCAATTGGCTAGTATGGTGGAGAAGGCATCAATAGAGGACGTAATGAAAGTTCTACTAGCTTCAAGAAAACAAGAGATGCACCAGCTGTGGACTACTTGTTCCCACCTAGTCGCGAAATCCGGCCTCCCACCTGAAGTCCTTGCCAAGCACCTACCCATTGATGTTGTGGCCAAGATTGAAGAGCTCCGCCTCAAATCCTCCCTCCATCGCCGCTCCCTCATGCCTCACCACCACCACCATCACCACCACCACGACCTAGGAGCAGCAGCAGATCTCGAAGACCAGAAGATCCGACGCATGCGTCGTGCCCTCGATTCGTCGGATGTGGAGCTAGTGAAGCTCATGGTGATGGGAGAAGGTCTTAATCTTGATGAAGCTCTTGCCTTACACTATGCTGTCGAGAATTGTAGCCGTGAGGTGGTGAAGGCCTTGTTAGAGCTGGGTGCCGCGGATGTCAACTACCAGGCTGGACCAGCCGGCAAGACCCCGCTACACATCGCAGCTGAAATGGTATGCCCGGACATGGTGGCTGTCCTACTGGATCACCACGCCGACCCCAATGTTAGGACCGTCGATGGGGTTACGCCGCTCGACGTTCTCCGGCAACTCACTTCTGACTTCCTCTTCAAGGGGGCCGTCCCTGGGCTAGCTCATGTTGAGCCTAACAAGCTGAGGCTTTGCCTAGAGCTCGTTCAATCAGCCGCTCTCGTAATCTCTCGTGAAGAAGGCAATGAGAATCCTCCCTCCTCCACCCATATCTATCCACCGATGAGTAACGATCTTAACAGCAACAGCAGCAATAACAACATGGTCAACCTAAGTCTCGACTCGAGGATGGTTTATCTTAATCTCGGCGCTGCTGCTGCTGCTCAGTTGGGGTGTAAGATGGATGGGGAAGGTCATAATGGACACAATAACCAGAGACAAGCCATGAACCGGCATGGAGGATCGCAGGGTGGTTGTGACCCATCGATGTACCACTCTCATGACTACTAGCTAGCAAAAAACTATATAAGCATCCGAGGCTCTTCGGGACGAGCAAAGTCCATTAAAGTACTGATGGAGAGTATCAGAGATTACATCTTCTTTGCCATTCCTCTCCCCTTCTTACTCTTCTCTCTCTCTCTCTCTCTCTGTTCTTTCTTCCCTAGTGGGTGCTTTTCATTTTTTGTAGGGTTTTGATCATGATCATATGAAAGTGCAGTGCCTCTGGACATGGAATTTTCTCGTGGGAGGAGACAACGGGAATCTAAGTTTGCTCTGAGTGATGGGAGGAAATGCAGGTCAATCTTTTCAACCCGGCCTGTCAACTCCTTTTGTATTTATTATTATCTATTATCATGGGCTATTAATTGTGACTTTTTATTTTCTTGTCCCCCACCAACCTTTCTCTTATATATATAGAAATGAATATAATATGATTTATGGGTAAAATTTGTTCTTATAATTAGTCGGTTCATATATATATATTTTCCATCTATGGTACGACCAACTACAATTTCTACTAATTCTAGCAGTGGAAATTAAGCCTATTGGAGATGGGTCTTCTGTTATGTTGATTTCTTTTATTGGTGCGGTAGCTTAATGTATTTTTAAGGGTTTGTTTGGATATGGGTATTGCATATCCTAATCAGGGAAATGAGCTGTCTCTTCCCATTCTCTCCCCCCTCTTTTAATTTCTCTCCTTTTTCACACATGACTTCACAAGAAACTTTGATTCGATTTTGATCTGGTTTTATTAAAAACAAGTCATTCGGCTATGGACAAATCGATAGGTTGTCTTGCATGAATTCAACACTGAGGGTGACTACACGACATACTTGATGTATTGGCAAATATCTAATTCTGGATTCCCTCCATGTAATCCTCTTTTTTGTCCCCCCTTAATTAGCCCTTTCAACCTCTTGCATGTATACATTCAGCGGTTAATTAACAGCTTAAGCCCTAGGATTCCAATACATATTTCTGTCTTCCCTACTGGTCTAATCCTTGAGCTCCATATATAATAACCATTGCTATACATACATACATCTGCATCTGGATGATGTTAACTTTGCACTTATTCCGTAACCAAAACAGTTGGCTCCTTTTTTCCACAATTAGGGAGAAGGACAAAGATGGGAGAACATGAACAGATGCCATGAGAGATTAGAATTTTATAATAAAAAGAATAAAGGATAATCTCTTCTATTTGGAAACATTAGTCCTGTTCTAGTAATTTTTTCTCGGTTATTCATTTTGAGAATTTTGTCCTTTCCTCAACTTCTTCATGTGGGTTCCCACTGAACACAAGATGCTAATTAATCCTATAAATAAGCATAAATAGTCATCAAGTTGCATTACTTAATTAAACCGTATATGGATAATGTGTTTGTTACTTGCAGTAATGTTTTAGCACTATCATGTGCGCCCATTCATGTAAACCCATCCTGATTAGATTGGATGGAATCATGGATGTAATTGGTGATTCACAGAAATGCCAAAACAACTCAAAATTACAAACAAATTCTATCTCTAACCAATGAAATAGAAAAAAAAAAAAACTCAAAATTAACTACCATAACCCTATGCAAGCTTGGCTGTATTATTACTTCATTAAGAAACTCTTGGAACTATTACTTATTATCTTATTTTCTTAATAGTTTTTTCTTTTCTTTTTGTTCAATTTTTTTAGTAGTTGAATCATTATAAGTTTAGCGTAAGCATGCAGCTATATTAACATACCTGTACACTGCAATTTAGGTATCCAACAATAACCAATGTTTCATTTTGGTTAATTATTGAAGAACCTGAATGCCTGTCATGCTTAGAGTTTAACTTCATGGGTGAGGACACTGGCATGAATGATTGTTTTTTGGATGAAGCTACTTCATTGACAAACATTCACATAGAAAACACATTCTGATAGAATAAAATTTAATGATTTTCCCATCTTATGTCATTACACCATAAGATATATTATATTATTATTATATATATCATGTAACGCCGCAATGGGCTTAATAGCATATACATTATATTAGGGTGCATTAGTCAGGGAAACTATCAATAAACCACAAGTCTATAACATATAGTAGTGGATTTGATTGTATAGTAGTGCACTATAGTGCTGTTTTTGACATACTCAGAAGCTTATATATTGCATAGCTATTGAAGGATGTATTTAAATGAGTAAAATTAATCTAATCTATGCTTCATGGTGGATTGATTGACATCTTGATTCTGAACAAACATGTTTTTCAAACCGTACATGGATCATGCCATTTAAATGAGTAAAAGTTTTATTTTCAGTATTGTCTCAGTTGTGGAGAACAATTTCATATTATATATCATCATCTAAACATTCTCCTCCTCCAAATATACAGATTGTTAAATGTATCTTGGTTCATCATTCTTTTTGGTTTAGTCTCATATCGATTATGGGCTCTTAAATCTTTTCTTACCACTTCAACCCATAACCATTTTTCTCTACCATGGTTCTTCCAAATCCTTCAATTTATAACAGATTATTTCTTCATAATCAGCATTAATTGTAGATTGTCTTCTCTACACAAGAGAACTTTGGCTCCTATTAAATTGGGTACAATCACTTTAATTTACACAGTGGATGTTAAAGCCACCTCGAACATTCACTTTTAATTCCATCTTTTCTATTTTCCTACTCATCCATCTCAAAATCGCATTTCTACCACACCCATTTTTGGATATATGTTATTCCTTGACTTCTCAACACTTGCTCCATATAAAAAAAAAAAAAAAAAAGAAAAAGAAAAAACTGACTAAGGCATCAATAGTATGTGAACCCTCTAATAATCTAAAGCATAAGACACCTCCATAAATAGTCTATATTTACAACCATGTACATGTATTTGTAGTGCATATCCCACCTTTAGTGCAAGTGATCCTTTTATTACCCCCACCCTCCCCCATTTGCAGTATTATGACATGAACTTTGTAACCAAAAATTCCTTTTCTAATTATGAACAAATATTGTAGATGGATGTTTGTGGTAATTCTAAAGCTATATTCGTCTATCAGAAGTATTGTATTGGTTTCCTTAATTGCCTGTGACTTCAATGTTGTATTTCTACAATGTTGGAGAATATGTTATCTTGGGGTTAAGACATGATGTGCAAACTTCTACGATCTATCATATTGGTTTATTAATTAATTAGTCCTCCATAATCATGTCCACCAATCACTTCACATCTTTGGAAAATAGAGAGTTTCAGATGTATTACTTATATTCTAATATAATAGCATGAAAAGAACATACAATGTCTAGTTTTGTGTTTTCATGTGCTTGTGCATGATATTGATTGATGGAAATTTTAAAAGGATTATTGCACAGACAGCACTACGAAATTCAGAAACCAATGCCATTAAAGTGATTTTTGTCCATCAAAATCATGGATGTGATAGGGCCCTGTAAGCACCTAAATTTCAAAAATAATTTAGGCCCCACAATCACCACATCTCTCTCCCTCTCTCTTTCCCCAAAGAAAAATAATGGAGAAGATAAGAACCAGCAACTTCGGATGAAGGAATTTTTTCCACACTAGAGGCCTAGTGGATCTCCTTCAAGACACGAATCCAGGATTCAAAAATGAGCTTCTTTTTCATTAACAGATAAGTTTGTTATCTTCTAAGCTTTTGGTTTCTTTCATTCTGCCATTTAGGGCAGCAACATATATATAAAAAGAAAAAGAAAAAAAAAAAAAAAACAGTAGGGAGTTATAGACCATTCTTATCTTTCATTGAACTTTGTCATAGAACCATTCAACCTAAAAGCTTTAGCTACTTGAATAAGTTTCTGTTCTCTAACACACCCCATCACCCAAAAGCCCATTAGGCTTGAAGCATGGACAAAACACATGGCCAAGCTTAAGCTGTTTGGTCAGATCCCTGAATTGGTTTTCATTCTCTATGTATTTATTTATGTTTATCTTTAGACTACGTACTGACATATTATTACATGACCCATTTATTTATTATTAATCAATGTGCATAAAATCTAGAAAATAGTGTCTTATGATTTAGCTGAATTGAAACAGAAAGTTGATGAAACCTTTAAATAATTTAAAGTTGATGAACATTAGCTATCCATGCATCTACCAGGTCACCATCCCAAAAACTTTTTAGTTTCCATTTTTATCCATATGCCCTTATATTCCATAGTTCTTCGTCTCTCTATTCTTTGCCTTTGCCAAAAAAGCCTTTCAAAGTTAATGAGTAACCTTTCTTTCATACATGAAACTCATATCCCTCACCTTTCCCAAATCCTTCTGCAGCAATATTGCTCCTCAATCCATAACATCAATGTCATAGAAACGTACAATTCCTAGCTAGTTTTGTGTGCTTTTATACGATTTTCATTGATGGAAGGCTTAATATATATGGGAACCTGAAACAGATAGAAAGTACAAATTCAGAACTAAGCCTATTCAAATGAATGTTAAGTTCCAACTATTTTTGTCTAATGGAACTCATGGATGTGATAGGGACCTAGCTTGTACCACTACAGTTCTTTGTGTAGAGTTTACAGTGTTAACCATTTCTTTTTGCATCTAAACTTGGATAAGGAGCCATAATCAGTTAGAACTGAAATTTATTAATTCGCTTAGGCTGTATTTGGTTGCAATGCAATTTTATTTGCACTAGTACAACTGTTAGGGAGTGCAAATGAAACCAATGCAAATTCTAGTTTAAATTTGTTTTGGGTTTTACTTTTTTCAGCTGCAGGTCTTATTTTACTCCCTTTGTGTTGCAATCAAACAAATTAAGGGAAAATTAGAAACAAAAGTAAATCAAAACCTGCACCCAAATCATTTGCACTATCATAGTTTTGCATCAGTGCAAAATACCAAATACAGCCATAGGAACTTCAATGGTTCTATTTGTTCCTCTTCTCTTTGAGATTTTGAGATCTTAGGTATGCACCCACCATTAATTAGCTAAGTAAGCAAATAATAAACTTACTGCGTTCCCTTAGAAGCATGACAAATCCTATCTTTATATCACTAGAAAAATGTTAGAATCCTTCTAAACACGCCTGAGCTAAGCTTCAACTTATTGAGCAACTATTAATTGGATGGGTTTATCAGAAAAGCAGACTCCCACTTTCTTATTGGTGCAATCCAATAGGAAGGCACCCATAAGAAAGAAGTTTGTGTAGAGGCTCCAAAGTGCAGCTTCCAACTCTGCTGCCACCAAAGCTCGATTTATTGACCAGCGGGTTCACGTAGCCACCTGAAGGATGACTACTAAAGGGCAGCAGCCTCATGACTTCGACCCACGTGTATTTGTGTTAAAAGCTTACAAAGCAGGGGTTTCCCATGTTAAAGGGAGCTCTGGTTTCTACTAAA